TCTAGATCTGTATCAAAAGAGTACCATTAATGTTACACTGACCAGGGATGATTTCTTTCCAGTAAAATTTCAATTTATTAACATGTGAAATAGGGCTGTCTAAGCCTTCCGTCTTGTAAGCTTTTATTTAATAACTTGGTTCTAACAGAAGGAGAAACTTTGCTCTCTGTGTTGATAATGCAGTTTTGCTATTGTTATGCTACAAACGGGCTTAGGAATTAAGAAGTTAGTGTATCAGTTGGCTTGTACTTCACCCAGCTCAACCCCTCATGTTCTCCCTGGGAAGATGGAACCTTCCAGAGCTAAGAAGGAGATGAACCTCAAAGAAACAAATTTGTCACCACATGATGCAGCCATTCTTCTTGTCCAGGATAGTCTCTTTCTTTCCACAGTTGACTTGAGCTCTCCACTGTGTTTTCTTTAACATGGTACAACCTTAGACTACCTTATGGATGAGGGGATGTGGTGGGACATCTTCACAGGCAGCAAAGGCTGTGAAAGAGTGACTGGCAGAATGGCTAAAATTAACAAGTCAGGAAATAACAGACATTAGCGAGGATGTGGAGAAAGAGGAACCCTCTTACACTGTTGGTGGGAATGCAAGCTGGTGCAGCCACTCTGGAAAACGGTATGGAGGTTCCTCAAAAAAGTTAAAAATAGAGCTACCCTAAAACCCAGCAATTATACTACTAGGTATTTACCCAAAGGATACAAACATAGTATGATCTGAAGGGGCACCTGCACCCCAATTTTTATAGCAGCAATGTCCACAATAGCTAAACTATGAAAAGAGCCCAGACGTCCATCGCCAGATGAATGGATAAAGATGTGGTGAATATATACAATGGAATATTACCAAGCTATCAAAAAGAATGAAATCTTGCCATTTGCGATGATGTGGATGGAACCAGAGGGTATTATTCTAAGCAAAATAAGTCAGTCCGAGAAAGACAAATACCGTATGATTTCATTCATATGTGGAATTTAAGAAACAAAACAGAGGATCATAAGGGAAGTGAAATAAAAAGCCAAAAACAGAGAGGGAGGCAAACCATAAGAGACTCTTAACTCTAGGGAACAAACAGGATTGCTGGAGGGGAGGTAATGGGGTAACTGGGTGATGGGAGATTAAGGAGGGCACTTGAACTAATGAGCACTGGGTGTTATATGCAACTGATGAATCACTAAACTCTACCTCTGGAACTAATAATACAGTATATGTTAATTAAATTGGAATTTAAGTAAAAAATTTTAAAAAAGGTGACTGGAAGAGGGAGAGCTACGGGGGACAAGTAATAACTTTCTGGCCATCCAGGAATAGGAAAGAGAAGCATGAAAGAGATTCTGAGCTTCAGCATAATCACTAGACTCCTCCACATCCAGAAGAATTAGAACTTCCACTAGCACAGAACTGTGTGTTTAAAAACACCCAGAAGGGTGATGTGGTCCATCTAAAGCGCATGGCCAGGCACAAGCAATTGAACACTGTTTGGAGAAATGGATTGGCGGAGCGAGCAGTCTTGGCGGTCTGACTCCCACCAGGAGTTCTCCATGCCTTCCTGTTGGATATGTGTCATTATGGAGTTTGCTCCTCTCAAACTTCTCAGTAAAGCTTTGGGCAAGAACCCAGGAGTGTTGCATGTATTTGCAGGAGTGCTAGGAACAAATAGAGTACCTAACAAGATTTCATGACTCTAATTAACCAGGAGATGTAACAGGAGGGGATGGGCTGGAGAAGACTATCAAACAAGCTCCAGCTATGGCCCTGACCCAGAGGTTGCCCTGAGGGAAGGGCTGGGATGTGAGCAAGACAGATCCAAGCTTTGCCCTCAGTCAGTGCGCTGCCACACCCTGGCCCAAGCTAGATTAACTCCTTTTTCTCCTTTGCCCTCCATCCTCTGGCCGGAGCAATAGGAATACCAGATTCTTGTGACTTGTAATAAAGAAAGCCCATGCGCCAGAGAACCGGATTGTCGCCAGTCTCTGCAGTTCAAATATTCACTCACCCTGGCAGGGGTCATCAGCTTAATGAAAGTGACCAGTGTCATCTTGTTTCCTGACTTCAAATCCAGGATCCAGCCAAATCTAACTATTACTCGTAGCTCAAATATACCTTATACTTTCTTACCTCTTATCTTTTCTTCCATCACTTGGAAGGCCATACTCCATCTCCTCAACCCTCCTTCTTTTTTTTGAAATAGTTCTCATCCATTAGTGATTAACTCAAATATGCCACCTTTTGGATAAAAATTTCCCTGCCAAAATAGCATTTCTTCTGTCCGTGAGAACAGTAGCACTCACATACTAGACCCATTATGGAGCATGCAGCTTGCTGATATTGAGTATCATTTAGTCCTCAAAATAACCACATAACCGTGACACTATCTTTAGGCACACTTTACAAGTGAGGAAACCGAAGCACAGAAAGGTTAGGTCACTTTTCCACGGTCACTCAGCTAGGAAGTGGTTCTGCTGATTGATTATAAATATGCTACATATTAGCATTATGCTATGAGGAAAGAAAACTAGATTCTTTAATAAGGCTTTAAAAAATAAACTGATTAATATATTGGGATTGAAATCTTCTGGGTAATGGATACAGAATTACTAATTTTCACACCTTTCCTACGTCCAAATCTGGTCAAAAGTATAAGGCTTGAACTTTAATTTCAGGAAGTGGGCATGGTGGAAGTGTGTTGGAGACCGTTCTTTCAGGATCAAATCCAATGACTGTGTCTGAGCCCTGCCCCTCTCACCTGATGCCCGTTCCACTCATTCAGGGTCAAAATGGTCGGCACTATAAATAGTCTTTGCACATTACACAGAAGGCAGATCTACCCCACTTACTGTGGATTTACTTGAGCCCCTGGACTTGAATACCACAGTTGGGGATGTGCACATTCTTCTAGAGATAGGTTTCACGATGTCTGCCAGATTCCCCAAGGTGTCTATAAATTACAAATATTAAGAATGGCTGCCACTGTTTGAGAGGCACCATAGAGGCAGAGTAGCTCCATGACTATGGGGGCAGAAGGAGCATTTCTGAAAAGATGAGAACCTGTGTTGGGATACAATATTGTTTGCTGGATACAAATAAAATGATTCCTTTTAGGGAGGGTGGGCTTCATGAGAGAGATTGTGCCTACACGTCGATGGCACCATTGTCCTTACAGTGTTAAAGCGGTTGGGAACTCAAGACACTTGCCCATTCCCAACCCCCCATCCCCAGCACTTGACAGTTTAGGAATCTAAGACTAAGATTAATAGAGTGACTCATCCAAAGCCACGAAGTTCAGGGCTGGGATCAACTAGAGTCCAGTGCTCATTCTCTTTCATGATCCCTCCCCCTTACTTCACAGAGAGAGCATCCTATTAAAATGTTGGCTTACAAGCAAGAGTCCACACAAAAACCCTACATCCACGCATGGTAGCAATGCTTTGTCATCTGGCTCCAGTGAATTCTAACACTTTCTCTTGTTTCCTTTCTACCCCAAATACCTCTGATTGCCACCCTCAGGACACCAGCAGGTAGAAAATGGTGTAAGTAGGAGAATTTACACACTGTGTATCTCATTTGAACCTCAAAACAACTGTACAGATGCAAAAAAAAAAAAAAAGATAATCCTCATTATCCCCATATCAGTACCTTAGTTTTAGGATAGTAGATATGGGGACCAAGGTCTTTGGGAGATCCAAAATGCAGGAAACATCCCCCTCCATTAATTGACCAGATATATTTATGGTATATTCTGCAGAGCAATTATAGAGACAGATGAATATTATTTCCATAACCATCTCTTCTGCCCAATGTATCTGAAAGCATGGAGAAGTTTTGCTCTTGACTGGGAGAAAACTGAAGTGCGGAGAGCAGGTGATTTGTCCTTGCCCACATAAAAAGTAAGAATTTCTATTAAAGAGAACTATCACTCGATAGTGTAAAAATGTCTCTCCTAGTAAGGCGTTCATCTTAACAAAATGTTACCATCATGAAACAGCATATGTAATTCATAGATTTTTTACAGGAGTTTCTGTATGTGCAAAGTAATATCTGATAGAATTTTCCCCCTTTTTAAAAAATAAAGAACTTTAAGAGCAGTGGGAGGGTTTTAATGATTATAGACTAGGCTTCCTATCGTCTTCATCCAAGAATATGCTCCATTTCCTAGTTGCTTGCCCTCTAAAAAATTCCATTTCTTAAGAAATCCAAGATACTTTAAGATCTAAAATAATGCTGAGTTTCAATCATTAGGAAATTACTTCTTCTCCTTATGAGAATTTTACTCTGGTAAACATCTCTTCTTAGAACTCTTCTTAAAGATCACTATCTTAATTAAGCTGAACAAAGAAATTGATGGCAGGTTGCATGCATTTTGCCCTTGGAAAACTTCACCATTTTGAAGGAACCCCAGGGCAAATCTTGTGTGAAAAGATTAGAATTGAAGGAAAATTTACAAGTAATCAGTCTAATCTTCTACTCTGGGAAGGACTCCGATTTACAACACATCTGACGGAAAACCAAGCCGTATCTATTAGAATACGACCAATGCCAGGGAGCTCACTGCCTCACAATGGTTTACACCTTTGTTCAGCAATTCTTATCATTTTATAGTTCTGATTTTGAATAAAAAATCTCCCTACTCTTAAGGTTGGCCCACATCTGACTTCTGAAGTGACACAAAGTCTCTTCCTTTATCACATGTCAATTCTGAAGACTTGATTCCTTGCTTCAAGCTTCTGTTCTTCATATAAAACACCCTTAGTTTCTTTCCTTGGTCTTTGTATGCCTGGGGTTGAGATCCATCAATATCCTCCTTCCCGAAGAAAGTCATTCTCCTCTCAATCTATTATAATTTACTGATCTCCTTTTTAAAAGGGGCACCTCAACATTTATGCATCTTTGGTAACTTTCCAAAGTTGTTGCTGCTGAGAAATGCCCTTGCTTTATAACTAGTCACTGTGCTTTTTTTCAGTGACATTAGGTCTGTTCTCTGAGGACCTACCTTTGCCAAGGTCTCATCATCTAGGTGATTCTTCTGAATCACATGTTGAAGTGCAAAATAAATTTTTTCCTGAAGCTTCTGGACCTTCCTTGGTTCTATCAGCCAGGCTCGGTCTGACAAAGGAAAAGAATTAGGTAAGAAGGGTAGGGAATGTAAGCTTTCACCTGCATATATAAGTGCTGAGTTTCAGACCCATTTCAATCACTTAGTTTTAGTTTGCTTCTGAAGACATATAGTTATTTACATAAAACACAAATATTTTATAAGAAATACCTGGATGACAGTAATGCTGGATACACACTGACCCCAGGAAAGGAGGATGGAGGGAAGGGCTCAATGGTTCTAATAAACATAGCGTGTTTCATATTATCTGTGACAATTTACATCTCTCTCTTTTTTTTTGGACATATACTTAGATTCTTTCAACGTAGAAGTTAATGACTTGTGAAGAAAATGAATTACATAAGAAAATCTATCACACAGGAATATTTTTGGTATTCAGGATCCCCCTTCCCATAAGCTAAGCTATAATGCAAAGCATAAACATGAATCAATTTCAAAAATTTAATCCTGTGTGCTCTTTTTGTACGTGGAATTTTTAAGTGGTGGATAGGATAATCCCTCCTTTCCTTTCTCCTATCCTACGTTCTTTTCTTTTTTCCTTCCTATATCCCTCTCTTCACCACCCCCTTCCTTCCTTTCTTCCTAGAAGCTTTATACACTATGGTGATAAAATGCAGCCCAGCATCAATGCCTCAGGTTGGCGCTTCCATGAAGAGACATCTAGAGTCTCCAAATGCTGAACAAATACTCATGGAAAAGAACTTGGAAATGGTCCATCTGAACACAGTTCAGGTCAGGTGAGAAACTCAATTCTGTAATCCTAGACAGGGCAAGGACAAGTCTAGCCACCAGTTAAGCAAAACCCTTATGTAAGTGAGCACAAAAGCCTTCAGTGACAATTGTCAATCAGAATAAATTAGGTTTCCCTCCCTCTCTGTTCCCTAAACTATCTGGAGCTGAACAGACAGTGGCTTTTATGACAAGAACTGGGGGAGGGTGGGGTCTGGCATGAATAGAGCCGGCAGAGGCTGGACATCTGTCTTTCCTCTCTTTTTTGAATATGGCACTAGGCCAGGGTGGCAAACGAGGTATTTGGAGCTGCAGAAGCCCCTGAGTGTGGGTCTGCTACCAGGGCTGGAAGATTCTCTGCTAGGTAGACTAAGCCAAATGTCATGCTTCCAAACTCAGCTCAATTTGATGGCTACAGTACGTTCTTTTCAGAAAAAGGCTCACAGTTCAGCTGATTTCTGATCCATAAACAACAGGCTTACCTTAAGTCTGGGGCAGTTATCTTCATGGATTGTTTAGGTTAGATATACCATGTCTTAAGTATTTGCTTCTAGGAATTTATGGACTTAACCATAGACATACCTAACAAGGACAGTACATTTTGCAACACTTTCTTTGAGCAAGCAGGAACCAGAATGGAACCGCTTCCCTCATCACAGACCCACAGGCTTAGAACGAGTCTTCTATTTAACTATTTTCCATGAAAACAGTCAAATGCAATGAGAAAATGGTGGGAGGAAAAGTATCTGGCATGTGGTTTCTATCAGAAATAACTATTTCTTGTCACTTCTCCCATTTATCTTTGTGCTTCCAGGCCTGGGAAATTTTGTAGGGTTCAAAACAAAACAAAAAACAAAAAAGGCCTAGAGGAACAACTTGATTGTAGACAGAGCCCCAGAAAAAACTGTTAGTAATAGCATGCCAAGTGATAATTTCCATTTTTGATAATGTGGTTAAATAAAAAACAGAAGCAAATTTGAAAATCTTCACAAAATTTAAAAATAAATAGTTAAGATAAAGCCTTACTGATAAAGAGTGTAGAGGCTGAGGGGCACCTGGGTGGCTCAGTTGGTTAAGCGTCCGACTCTTGATTTCAGCTCAGGTCATGATCTCAGAGTCTTGAGATCAAGCCCCACGTCAGGCTCTGTGCCCAGCATGGAGTCTGCTTATGATTCTCTCTCTCCCTCTGCTCCTCCCTTTACCCCCTGCTCACTCTCTCTCAAAATAAAATAAAATAAAATAAAATAAAATAAAATAAAATAAAATAAAATAAAATAAAATAAAATAAAATAAAATAAAAATAAAAGTGTAGAGACTGGTATTATTGGTAGATACAGCTGCAATGACATGTCAATGTGTGCAGTCACAGGTAAGATTAATTTCTTCCAGCCTCACGGAAAACTGTGTTAGGATGTAAGAAGAGCTCTCTTCTCTAAGATGAATTTTATAGAAAGAACGAGTCTCTTGGCCATAAAAATTATTAGGAATGTGTTCCAATAGAGAACTGTAAATGACACTGGCAAGCCCTTCACCCAAAATCTAACCGAGCAGACAGCTGAGTGACTCTGAGTTCTCATTCTGGTTGAAGAAGGAGCCAAGTACTTATTAAGATTCTAGATATTTTCGAGCTGCTATATATTTTAAATAGCATTTCAATTGCTATGGTTCTATTTGATCTATAAACATCACACCTTACTTTCTTTGAAAATTTTGGTATTTTATTACATTTTAGATCTAAACATGATCTTTATTTTTTTTTGTCTAAGATTTATTTATTTTAGAGAGAGAGAGAGAGAGAGCGGGGCAGGGAGGGGCAGAGGGAGAGAATTGTAAGCAGACTCTGAGCTGAGCGCAGAGCCCGACGTGGGGCTCAATCTCAGGACCTGGAGATCATGACCTGAACCGAAATCAAGAGTCGGATGCTTAACCAACTGAGCCACCCAGGCGCCCCATGATCTTTAATGAAGTCCAAACCTATTACTTTATAGATGAGGAGACTGAAGCTCGGGAGGGGCGGGGGCAAGTGTTTAAAGTCACAGAGATAAATGATGACAGATCCCCGGATGGGAATGTCGGCTGCTACATCAGAGATTCTTCCTTTGCAGTCTTTAGTTGGAGTCATTTTTCCCTCTGCTGTTCTCACCTCCTTTCAAAGCCCCCAATATTGCTAATTTTGGTGGAAAAGCCAACAAAAGAGGTATTTAAAGAGGAGAGGGTGTACATGTTATTTCCTTTTGTCCTCACACTGGATCTTTCATTTAAATATATTTCTACTAAGTCTCACCTTACTGGACATTTGTTTTTGATGTCCTTTATTCTTAAAATTGAAACAGGACTTTGCTATAACTCAGGCTGCCATCCATCCTCATTAATCTGTTAACGAATACTTTTGCTTATCTGAATCTGGAGTGACCCTTACCACATACCCTTCTCTTGCTTGTGGAGCAAAATGGCTCATATTTTAATTAATTTAAGGCTACTTTCCTTTAAATTGTCCAAAAATATCACAAGCTTGCTAAAGAAAATTTAAATTTCTCCTGAGGACGTAGGCTTGGGTAGGTGTAATCTATGTTAAAGATAGAAAAACTTTTTTTTTTTTTTTTAAAGACAGGACCTCAGACCTCCTTACCTGGAGATATCAGAACAGCAGATGAGAACAAAGCAATCTCCTCCTCAGTCAGCTGCAAGGAACATAAATTCTTTGCAAAGTCAAATGCTTCATTCACCAGGTCATCAGAACCTATAAAAGAAGGCAAATTAAATGAGAATTCTTGAATGGAATGGGGCAATAGTAAGAAAAGCCCCATAATCCAAAGGGCATTCAGGGATTTAAACACTAGGCAAAAATATTTCCAAGTTCCTAATGATTACAGAATGAGGAAATTGGGCAACAATCTTGATCAAGTACTAAAAGTTAACATTACCAATGAGGGGCCAATGGGAATGGTGTGTGCCCACTGTAATATTCAACTGGGAATATATATACTAAATCTAATCTTGTAAGTTTGAAATTAGTTCCAACTAAAAAAAATTAAATAAGTGATCTGGGGATCCTTCAGTAGAGAGACAGCATTCAGAGAAAACTGAAAACATGGTGCATAAGGGGCTAAGGGCCATCAGTCTTAGTGGCCCTGGAACCTGGCAGCATAGAATGCCCAGAGGCCTCAAACTGAGATGTTCAAAGCTTCTTATAGAACGAAGAGGAGGTAGCTTTCAAGTTGGTAACTTCCCTGAAAATCTTACGGAGGGGTAGGCATTCATTTATTTTTACCTTCTCCTGGATGCCTTGTAGGTCAGTTGCTTAGCAATGGTGAATTTTGGCAAAAGAATGCTTCATCCCTACACACTGATCCTCGGTAAATGTTTATTTTATGAGGCTGGAAATATACCCAAGTTGCTTGCCAAGGCTTTTCCTCCTTTCTTGAAAATCGAGCCTTGTAGACGACATGGATGTGTATCAGCTGCAGGAGGGAAACAGTACCAGCCGGACGGACTTGCTTTTTGGCCGCCGTATCAACTGACGGCACAGAAGGTGAAAGGGCATGGCCTTCTGTGGGGTCCGGGGGCCAGGGATGGAGCAAATGGCACTGCTAGTCGTCAAAGCCTTTCCTGGCATTGGCCCATCTATGCTCCCGTTCTTACCTGCACCGCGTACTGATGCCTGGATGTGAATGATACCCAACACTTCCAAAGACTGACTCTGTGTGTGCCCACCCACAGGAATGGTCTGGGGATCCTTTGGGGGCAGGGCGGCACCCACTCTCCCTGTGCTCCCAGAACGTCATCAATTAATGGGAAGAAAGTCACCGCTGTGGGTGAGAAGCAAGTGAAGGAGCTCTTCTTCTCATTAAATATCTTAACTAATGATTGTACATTTACAGAAGACCCTTGAGAGATCACCCATGGACCACCACTGGTCTACCTAATATACTCTGTGAGGCACTAAGCTAGAAGGGAAAATAAAAGCTGATCTTACAATGAATAATCTAGAATGTATCTCAGTTCTTTCAGAACCAGTCTTCATTGATTTCTGAATGAGGTGTGGTTGATCTCAATGGGGTCTGTGGTTCTCTCCCGCCTTTCACACTAGGATAGACAACTGTAAGATCTGAAGGTTTAGGTAAAACACTGGAGGCCCACCTAGTCCAGCCCTTATCAAATGAGATGCTAGTTCACATTCAAGAATCAAAGCATTCCATTTACCAACTTCGATCTGAGTGGAGAAACTGATGGCAGCTAAGAAAATTGTGTCACCGTCAAAGGTAAACTCACCTAAGGCCTTGAACATCTGCATTCCTCCATATTTTCCTTCAAACAGAACAGTGTTGTTTAATGGGTTGAAGGCACGGCACATTCTCACTAAAACCACTTCCAAGCAACCTGTGAATAAAAAATTAAAGAAAATATGTATATACATGCAATAATAAAGAAGTTATTATACAAAGGCCACAAGACTTCAAAAAAACAAAACAAAACCTTGAAAACACACACACACACACACACATACACACGCAGACACACAGATGCACCCATTCAGAAATACCTCAAGATTCCTTCCCAAGTAAAAAATAAAGCTCTCTTCGTGCTTGTGTGAGGAATTAAAGATAACATAGACTGTAAAGGTGGCTAAAATGGAGGGCAGCAACTACATGTTTTTTGGGAAGCATACATATTTTTCTTTTTTTGACTAATATTAAAGGTAGTTCCAACTCGTGAATTCACAAGGAGCTTTGAAGCAGGCAAGTCCAGCCTGTTCACTTTTGTAGAAGTTTTGCTCTCGGCCACACGTGCTCCCTGCCTCGGTTTCTACCATAGTCCTTGCATATTTCAGCACAGGATGACTTTACATAGGGACTCCTTCAGGGTGTTTCTGGAGGGCACCACTGACATCTGATGTCCTTGAAATGAAGTTTTCTTGGTTAAATGAGTTTTGGCAAAATGCTGAATATGATCTCACTTCGGAGAGTTATAATCAACATTGACAGGTCAAAGGCTTGGGGAAGCCTCAACATGAAGGAACTTGTTCAACCCTGCTGCTAGCATTTCTCTGACTTCCCTGTTAGCCCAGAGAGGCCAGGACCTTTGTCTGCAGACATACGTAGCTGTGGTTACTTTATTCACTATTATGTCTCCAGGACCTAGAAAAGTTCCTGGCACCTAGTAGGTGCTTACTAAATATCTATTTTATTTTTATTATTTTTTTAAAAGATTTATTTATTTGAGAGAGAGGAAGAGAGTGCATGAGTGGGGGGAGGGGCAGAGGGAGAATCTCAAGCAGACTCCCTGCTGAGTGCGGAGCCCTAGGCGCTGCTCCATCTCACGACCCATGAGACCGTGACCTGAGCTGAAACCGAGAGTCAGATACTTACCCGACTGAGCCACCCAGGTGCCCCTAAATATTTACTGAATTAGTTGCTGCCTTTGTTTTGCCCTCTGAACATTTACTGACGTTCTGAGGAACCACCATATGGGGATTTGACTACGCCCATGGTGTTCGCCAGGGTATCTGTGGTGCCTTTCTTATGTTGCCACTTAATATTTAGGTCTGTGTCTTATTTTCTTTGCTGATTTCTCTTTGCTTTCCCTCCTATGTCACCTAGCAGAGGGGCTCCCACATAGAAGGGGATTTGTACATCTTAATTAAAACCGTGCTTTTCTGACAAAAACAATAACAGGTACCATTTATTGAGTATTTATAAGGTGGAAGGCACTTTCCTTGGCCCCTTACATTCGTTGTTTTATTTGCTCCTCACCGTACCATTTCAGGTGAGTTTTATTAGCTCCCCCTTTTTTTTTAACGGGTGAGTTCCGGGAGGCTTAAGGAGGTTAAGTACCCTGCCCTTCATACTAGAGTCAACATTTTTACAGCAGGCAGAGATGTCAGGAGAGTATATGGTGCGGTGGTTCTCCAGTGGCAATCTATGGACTGGTTGTATCTGAGACTTAGAAATACAGTGACCTGGGTTCCCTTCTAGAAGATTCCGATCCATGGGCTTCGGACGATGCCTACGACTCAGAACCATCAGTAAGCCCCTCCGATGCTGCCAATGCAATTGTAAGTCTGGAATCCATCATTGCTACTCCATCGCTTTATTTTGCAAATGAGGGAACTGCCATCTAGAGAGGTGAGCGCAAGGTCACATATCAAATATGGCAGATTTTTTTTTTTTTTTCCCCAAAGAGAGTCACAAAAGTATCTTCCATCCCACATGCTTTTCAAGAGCCTTACCACTCCCTCATCAAGAAGGAGGATCCACATCTCCTACCCTAGAGTCCAGGTGGGCCGTCATGCTGCCTTGACTAATAGGGAGGGGTAGAAATAACCCAGCTAAGCCAGGAAAATGCTCTGCACTCTGGCTTTGTTCTCTTGGAGGGCTAGCTTTTGAAACCTAGCAAGCATGCTATGAGAGGCTGTGGAGAGGCTGATGTGCATGGATTGGAGCTGGGCTGCCGCCCAGAGCCTTGGCTGAACTCGGGACTCAACCAGCACACACTGCCAGCCATGTGAGGGGGTCCTGCTGCCCTCAGTCAAGTCGCCTCAGTGACCCCCACATGGAGCAAAAGACAAGCCATCCCTTGCTGAGCCCCACTCACAATGTAGTTTTGGGAGCAAAGTCAGTGATGATTGTCATTAGAACTAGGCTTCGGGGTCATTTGTACCCAGCAACAGATAACTGATAGACCAAGTTCATGTTCGAGTCAAGGTTTGTTTCATCTTTAATCATGTGGTAAAGCAGCGCAGCAACTTCTAACTATTCTACCTGGCCCAAGTTCAAATGGCAGCTTTGCCACATATTGGCTTTGTGATACTGAACGAAGCCCTTCACTTCTCTGAATCTTCCCATCCTCCCATAAGATGGAAATAATACCAATGTCACCAGACTACATGAGATGGCGTGAGCAAACATGAACATATATAAAGTATGTTATGACACACACAAGTCTATATAATCATTACCATGGCCCAGGTCCATGGAGCTTAACAAACACCATGATGGTTCTTATTTTCTATTTTCAAAGGCGGGCGGGGGTCAAGAAAGAAAATTTGTTTCCTGTTTGGGTAATAGCATCTGCGAAGTCACTCACGCACAGACTTTCCTAAGTGACTGTGTGTGAGTCAGAGAGCATGTGTGAGAGAAGCGGAGGGGAAGATTAGAGCTCAGGGAGTTTCTCCGGGTGTATACTGGCTGCAGGCTATCCTCATTAAAGTGATGGGAAATGACCTCAGAGGCAGCGTGCTGCTGGCCTGGATGTTTCCCCCCAACAGAAGGCAAGTAGCGCATTTCAGAGCCAGCTCAGCATTTCAGCCACCTTGACACGCTAATTACCCGCACTGCCTGTCAGGCTGGGTATCTCAACCTCCACAACTAACAGCTCTACTTTCAATAAGCAAAATTGTATTTGACTTCAAAGGGGAACTGAATGAGTATCAGGGCGTTTTTATTACCGAGAGTTTCCTCTGGGAGTTGGCGGACAGTGTGGGTGGTAAAAATGAACCACATATTGGAAGGACGATTTTCCAGAACCAACACTGAGGGAAGGGTTGACCACATCCCGGTCCCCAACAGGCCCCCCCATGAATCCTCTCCTTGCTTACCTGACTTCAGAAGTAGAATTTGATCATTTTGACAGAGCTCCATGAAGCCCGTTATCCGCTTGGCGAACTCTACCACGTACTGGATAGCGTGCGTGATCTGGATCGCGCATTGCTGCCATAGGGCTTCCCTGGACTTCAAGAGAAAAAACACAGAATGTACACGGAGCAAAGAACAACGTGGAGAGTCCATGAAATAGGGTTTCCCTACGGTGCTTACCCAAGGCCAGAATGTACCCAGTTCCTTTAAAAGAGGTAGACGATATTTCCTAACACATTCTTTGGACCTGTTCGAACCTTGATACACCGCAATGGTCATACAATGTACTGAGACTAAAACAATGGAAGCATTGAAATAATATGTAAAGATAGAACTTTATAGTTTCTTTGCTCTTCTCCCCTCCTCTTCCCCTAAACAAGCTCAAGCTCTTAGTCCATTTTGGGAAAATAAACTCTCGCACTGAGGAGCAGTAATTTCGTTCCCAGGCTTTGATCCGGTCATGTTCATGGGCACCTAAATGAACACTAAACTTGTAAGATTTTTACACTGTGTTCTTTTTCCAGAACTTACGGAGAGTGCTGTTTGGTATAAAAAGAATTTCATGGGGAAAGACCTCAAATCAAATCACTCTCAAGTAATTTAGAATCTCTGAAATGTATTTTGATCCTTGCATTATTTTCCTTGGAACAGGAAACATCCAAGTGTGTGAATTCTGCTTTTTATTGATCATAACAATAATCATTTTTCTCATTTATGTAAGAGGGGTAAGATTTAATTGTCCCAGTGGAGAAAAATCAATATGTTATAATCATGCATTTATTCATTTACATATTTTTTTTGTCTCATTTATATAAGAGGGGTAAAATTTAATTGTCTCATTTATATAAGAGGGGTAAGATTTAATTGTCCCAGTGGAGAAAAATCAATATGTTATAATCATACATTTATTCATTTACATATTTTTTTTTAGATTTTATTTTTAAGTAATCTCTACACCTGACGTGGGACTCAAACTCACAATCCCGAGATCAAGATCATGATCCTGAGATCAAGCATGCTCTACTGAATGACCAAGCCAGGAGACCCGCATATGTTAAGATATAGACACATCTTTGTATTTTGTTTAAAATTTCATTTACTGGTAGATCTTGTAATTGTGGATCTCAATCCCAAAGGAAAGTAATGTGACTATATAACAATAGCAAATTCCTTCTCTTAAAAACTTCTCAAATGGATACAAAGTAATAATAATAATAAATAATAATAATATGAGGTGAGTTATCCTCCTTTTTAACATTTAGGGTAAGAAAAAACATTTAGGATGCTTTATTGCATATCTTTGTAGTGTAAATTTGCAACTATTATTATTGCTACAATTTCTCAATTGTTTCTCTTCCTTGCCTGGCCCCCGGAAGCCATCATGAGAAGTCCTAAAGTCATCTGATGTGGACATAGTCTCCCTGGTCCCTCAAATAGGGCAGTGTTTTTTAATTGGGGCCGTTTTGCCTCCCAGGGAACATTTGGCAATATCTGGAGACACCTGATTGTCACAACTGTGTGAGGGGATTGCTAGTGGCATCTGGTGGGTAGAGACCAGGGATGATGTGCAGGACAGTCCCTGCACAAAGAATTATCCAACCCCAATGTCAGTAATGCTGAGGTTTGAGAAAGCCAGAAATAGAGAAATCCCAGGAAAAACAGTCTCCTATTTTCTCAGAGTACCTTGCTTTGATACGCTTTAATTTCTTCATAGGTGTGGGTCTGCCACGCCAGCTGGTGTAGCTCCTCCATGGTGTACTGACATGTCTCCAGATGGGACTTAATGATGTTCTGTGCAATTCGATCTGTGAGAAGGAATACCAGTTTGAGGGTTTATGAATAAATTCCCGCTCTGCAAATAAACTAGCTGTTAATGTTTACTACAGGAATCCCTTTGGAGACACTCCAATTGTATTAGTGTCTTTAACACTACTATCCACCTATGTATCTCCTAACTATTGTCTTTTTTTCAATTTTCATTTTTTTTTTAAAGATTTTATTTATTTGAGACAGAGAGAGAGAGAGAGAGAGCACGCGCACAGTGGGAGGAAGGACAGAGGGAGAAGCAGACTCCCCATTGAGCAGGGAGCCAGATGTGGGACTTGATCCCAGGACCCTGAGATCATGACCTGAGCTTAAGGCAGATGCTTAACTGACTGAGCCACCCAGTTGCCCCTCAATTTCCAGTCTTTTAATCAAAATTTGCTGCCTTTTTCTCCCCCTTTTGGTCACAAACCTGGGGCTTTACAAGTTGTAAAATGTTCAAATAGTTATTTTTAAAATAAATACAAATGACTATATTTCCTGCTTCTTGGCCTAGAAGACCACTAACACTCTTGACATTTGTACTCCAAAGACTTTAAAATGTTTTGAAAATCACTAGACTCCCACTGTTTATGTTAGAATGGGGGAATTTAAATATAACTCTATTGGCTTATATTTTTAAAGAGAGGATAAAACAATACTCTAAAAAGATAAGTTCTCTACAGAGGAAAGAGAAGAGAGTAGAAGGACAGGGTAGAGGCTAGATGCTCTGATATTATTTTTGTAGATTTGACTTTGGAACCATATAAATATCTTACATGATAAATAATGGGAGAGGGAATATAAATGAGATGGTATTGACTCATGAGGTGATAATTATTGAAATTGGGTCACAGTGACCATTACATTCTCCTTTCTAATTTTTTATAAGATGAAATTTCTCTTTAAAAAGGTTAAAATGAGAAAATGATTACATTCATAAAAAAGTAGGAACAAACAAAATCAGTCTTTTGGGGCCATTCATCTCAAATGAATTGTATTTGATATTGTATCTTAAATACTGAACATTCTGGGTTTGGAGGTATGGAAGTTGAACAATAGAACCAGACATAACAGATCTCCTTAAGAACCTGCAATGAGTCCCCTAAAGTTAGACAGAGTAGGCAGGAGGTTCCCTCAAAATCCCCTCAGCTATTTGAACATATGAATAGTGTGAGATCTTGGGAACCAAAGTACACAGGGATTCTGTATGGGCGGGATGAGTAGAATGAAGATGACCAAATCTTTTTTCTGTTCTTGGCTCATACAGAAATAGAATTTTTCTAGTGTTTCAGGTTATGCAATTTCAAATGCAATTTCTGTTCTAAATAGCCATATTTCATTCCTACAGGATAACGCCCAAAGTGGTGCTGAGGTACCTTCTTTTTACCTCGCTAAGCTTCTGGTATATGTGGCGTGAAATATATTGAGTTTTGGTGTAGAGAATAGAAACATGTAAGCTTGTGCCTCCAATGAGCTTGCCAAATAAAAAATCTTGTATAGCTCATTGCCTGGTACATTATAAACACTGAATAAATGCTAGCCACAGTGATCATTATTGGGACACTCTATAGGATTTGTCATCAGGGAAGCAATGTGATGTCTCCAACGGACACAAAACAGGGATATTTAATTTTGCAATCAGTGCTACTGAAGGAAGATATTTCAATATTTATTAGAGTTTTTCAATAGAACCATTAAGTGCTAGATGTTGAAGATGCTACAAAATGCTAAATTATGATTATAGTTATGCTCTATTGGATTCAGCATTGAGCTGAATGAATTTCTAGACTCTCACTGCTCATCAAATTCTAAAATCCTTCCTTTAAAAATCCTATATTCAAAATTTTATTGAATATCCTATGTTGTAAAAAAAAAAGGGCAGGAATTACTTTATACATCATATTAAAATAGATTGGTATGTCATGGTTCATCATTTTTCAATTTCACTTGGGCAGTCTAATTACTTAGAATCTAAAAAAAAAAACATATCTCTTCCTAAGTATATAATGAAAACATAAGATTTCTATGGCTTTCTAGTTTTCAAACCTTTATCTTCTTGGTATAGTCTGTGTTCATCTTCAAAGATATGCTGATTTGTCAGTAAGTTACAGGCTTCAGGGTTTACAAGCAAAACTAGAAGGGCCACTCAAAACTGCATTATGAAAAACACTTCATCTGTCCCTTTATGCCATCTCCTGGGAACTCCTGGCCAAGGTTTAAAAAATCTCTAACAGGGGCGCCTGGGTGGCTCAGTCGTTAAGCGTCTGCCTTCAGCTCGGGTCATGATCTCAGGGTCCTGGGATTGAGCCCCACATCGGGCTCCCTGCTCTGCGGGAGGCCTGCTTCTCCCTCTCCC